TGCTCTGCCCGGGTCCCTGCCCCTCCAGCTGGGAGGAGCAGGGAAGACAAGCAGGAAAAGCTCGTTTTCTTCTGCAAATCGCCAGGTCTTGCCCTGATGTTTTGGTTTTTTTTTCTCCCCTGGCTGGGAGGAGCACAGTTGGTGAGGAGAACAGGACCTCCCCCTGGGGATGCTGGGGGCCGTGGGGCTGGGCGGCACGGGCAGAGCGCCGAGAGCTTTCGCTGTGGTTCCCCCCCTTCCGCGGTTCGTCTCTGAGGAGGGGGCATCCAGCGAGGGGCCGTCACTTTAGCCGATTTCAGCTGCTGCCTTCTCTTCCCCTCTCCCATCAGAAGGCAGTTGTCATCAGTTTTGACTCTGATGAGAGTCTAATAAAGAACTGATCTCTAAACCGCTTTTGTTCACAGGCCCTACAGATGAAGGGGAAGGGAATAAGGGATAGTAAACAATAATCCACATGTCCATTTTTTTATTCTTCCTTTTGGAGCTGTTTTCTCATACATCTTTGGAAGCGGCGTTAAGTGTTTTATGACGGCTGTTGCCTTAGAGCTAAACTGGCCGTGGTGCTGGGACAGTCTCATCACCAGGCTGGGTTATGGTCCCTGTCTCCCTGGATGGGGCTGCGGGTGCATTCGGGGATGCTGGTGCCATGGAGCCACCAGCTCAGGTCTTCATCATCGCTCCCTCCTCTTGGCTTGTCTGGCAGCAATGGCTGATCGGGGGTTTCATCGGTGATGGTGTACCCCTTGTCCGACTGTACCGACATCAGGCTGGTGCACCTCACTGCACCCGGCTCCCACGCCATCGGGCTGGACCACAGGTTTGGCTGGCTGTGGCGGCGCCGTCCCCCCGACCCTCCGCGGCGCCGTCCCCCCAACCCTCCGCATTACCCCTCAACCCTCCATTCCAGGCGCTGAGCTGATTGGGGCAGCTGAGGCCGAGGGAAGGTTCCTCAAATGGCTTTGTAATCGCAAATGCTGGACTTTTAAGTTTTGATTGATTGATTTATTTATTTTTAAATAGCTGCGTGGGTGCCCAAAGAGCAGCGCTGTGCCTGAGGCCAGGGCGGGCAGCAGGGAAACCCAAAGGGATACAGGCAGTCCGGGTGTTTGGGATCAGTTGGTTTAGGACTAGAAATAAGGAGCTTGCATATTGCTTTAAAAAGAGGTGAGAATGGTGTACGTCCTTCTACAGGTGAGGTTTAGGACCTCGGCATCACTAATTTTTATTAACTCTGGGGTCAAAGTGTTTAACTTCTATTTAATTGAATTGGCGTTTAATTTTATATGACTTCCGTAACATACACAGTTAGATTGAAGCCCTTAGAAACATGTTTGATTTCAAATACATGTGGAAAACATTGCAGATGCTTTGTAAAGCTGCTCAATACTTGGTGTGATTTTTCTTTTTTTTTTTTTTTTTTTTTTTTTTTCCCCTGGTAGTGCTGAGCTCTGGTGTCCTTTCCCACGCTGAGCCACCAGCGATGAGCGTGGGAAACGGCACCCGAACAGGAGGTTTGGTGGTTGGGAAGCTTTGACAGAAATCAAGCGCTGTGTGGTCCCACGTGCTTGTTGTGCGTTCCCCTGGATAGAGACTGATCAGCACATGGCGGTGGGAATCCATTTGTGTTCTAACTGTGTCTTTGGGCTATTCCGGGCAACAAAGAAGAGGCAGCCAGGGCGGTGTCTGCGTTGGGGGCCCTTGGTCCTCACCCGAAGGAGGACCTCCTGGTGCCAAAGAGCTCCTACGGGGCCTTTGGGCACTTGGCAGTAGCTCGCGGGCTGAAAGGCTAAGCAAAACCCAGAGGTTCACTGGGTCATTTAAAAAAAGTTACAAGGAACATTATGCTCCTGTGTATTAATGCTTTTTTCTCCGAGACAGATGAAAAGTTCAAAAGGTCTTTAACCTGCTTTAAATTTTTTCCTCTCTTGTTTTTTTAATGTGGGTCTTCTGGGAAAGGTATTCATAACCCTTTGGTAAAGGTGTTTTCCTGCAGGCAAATCTGAAGACAAAGAGTGAAAGACTGTAATAATCAAGTGAAATTTAAAACTCATTACCTCGTCTGTACTTAGAACTTTCACAATACCCAAAACTTCTTTATCTGAAGGGGAAGGTCTTGAATTACCCTTTTTGGGTACCGGTGGATCTTCCTATCTCACCAGTTCCACATCTTTAACCCGGGCCCCACATAGGCAGCAGCCTCCTCTCTGAAATGGGTCCGGGCTGTGTACTGGGCCTGCTGTCCCCTTCAGAAGGGAGTTCCCTATGAGGACAACTCGTCTCTTCTTCTTTACGGAAGTCGTCTTGCTGCAGGGCTTGGGTTGTCTCAACCTGGGGAAGATTGCTAAACCGTGACAACCATCGTCCTTGTTAAGGTTCGGTCCCGCTTGCTGTCTTCCCCCTGTCTGTTTGCTTGGGAAGAGCAGAGCCAGGAGGCTGAGGAAGGACGCCCAAGTGGGGTTTGGGGTTTCAGCAGCCAAGCGGTACCTCCCTACTGAGCAGGAGCGTGACTTGGCAAAAACAGATTTTGGGAAAACACCACTGCTAGGAAAAAATGTGCACTTTTTTCCCCCCTCGAAGCTATATCGATGATAGTATTTTCTAGGCATTTGACTCTTGAAATGCGTGTAGATGTGGGGTGATTAATGACAACGCTAAAAAAAACCCAAAAAACCAAAAAAAAACCCCAACCCTTTCAAGAAGTTTTTTTGGAAACACAGCAAAATCTGGTCTGTTTATGAGGAGGACAACTTCTCTCCAGCTGCAGCGAGTGCAGATGAAAGTCCCCGGCTCTCCACAGGTCACGTCCTGGGTCAGCTCCAGTTGCTTTGGCCAACGGTGCGTTGTGCTGGAGGTTGACAAATGGCTGAGATGATTGCTCAGCTGAGTGCAAAGCAAGAGAAGGGGCTCGCTGACCCCCAAACACCCTGTCCGTGCCCTCCTCTCCGGTATCAACAACTAGAGGGGCAGTCCTTTCTTCACGGAATTATTTCGCAGGAGAGAGGGAGAGAGAACTTCATCAAAGGCGGGGAAATCACCAAAACTTCTCTTTCAACTGACTGATGAAACTTTAATGAGGGAATTGATGAAAGTTTAATAAGGAAGCCCTGCTTCAGGAGCGCTGCTCATCCGTGCCGGCGGAAGGCTGGCTATCCGAGCAACTTCAGGCTTGCATTATTTTGCTGCTTTCCTGGGCTCTTTGGGGACATTGCATCTTCTTCTCCAAAATAAAAGAAGCAAATGAGAAGTAAACAACCTTCCTGCGCGTGTACCCCGTAGGAAGCCAGTAGAAAAGTCGTTTTTCTAGGCAGTGTTAGTTTTCATGAGTTATGGAAGATGTTGTGTGGGTTTTTCCCGATGGCAGACAGCCTGAATTGGGAAGGAGTGCGAGATTTTGGAGGCCGGGTGTTTAACGCAAGGGTCTGTGCTGGTCCTCGGGTGAATAAATGAGAAACTTGATATTAAACAGTTGCATTAGTTTTATTTTACACTGATTTTTTTTTTTTCTTTTTAATTTCCATTGTGATCTGGCAGAATAATCTGGTTTTCATCTATCCTGGGTTGAGTGACCAAACTTTAAGTTTTGTGGGTTTTTTTTTTCCTCTGTGCCTGTTAATTAGTGCATGTGCAGGTGTTTTAAATGGATTCTTCTTGGCATTGAGAAATACAGTAGAAATAATAGAAGGGTTTTTTTGTGATGCTTACTGAAAATGTTTGACTTCTGCTCTGCTAACGCAGAGCTTATTTTGTTGGCAAATAACGATTTATAAAGAGTTAGGAGCAAAGCTGCCAAAAGTTAGCCTAATAGATGGCCCCGGGAGCCCCAGTTGGCTGCAGCCAAAGCAGGTTCCTTGCCAAAATCCACTGGCCCGCTCTTTCCCCAAGGAAAGCTGCATTCGGCGTCTGGAAGGCAAAGCTTTTCAGGTGGGCTGGGTCCCTGCCTTCCTCGCGGGTACGTGCCCGGCGAAAGAAATCCTGCAAGCTCGTGGAATGCCTGAAGTGAGGAGCCTTGATCCAAGAGGGGTTTATTTATTTATTTAAATTTTATTTTTTTTTTTGCAGAGCTACAGTTGGCTCTTACTGCCTGCAGGATTTCCACATGAACTGAAAACATTTGCTAAATGACATAATAAGCTAATGATTGCTTAATTTTTGAACACGCAGCTCGGTGTAGAGGGAGTAACAGCTGGTGTTTGTCAAATGAGGTTTTTCTCCTTAAGAGTTTTACTACTCGTTTTCTTGTTTATGTAACCTATTTAGGCAAGATTGAGCTCCAAAGGCCTGCCCCCCCCCCAAGCCTGTTAGACTTACAGGTAAATGCTACGTAGTCGGCAGAGCATTTGAGCCTAGATTTGTTGGGCCTCCGAGCCCCCGTGTGAAACCGTGGGAAGTTTCCCGCGTGGCGTGTGGTCAGGATGGAGGGTGCTCGTCCGGGCAAGTGCTGACCCGCGGGTGCCGGGTGCGGGGTGGTTAACGGTGCACGTAACAAACCCGGTCGGGTCGGAAATCCGGCAACTTCTGCGTAGGAAACAGTCGGAATAAGGGCGGTCACGCATCGCTGTGAGGCCATAGGAGCTGAAGAAAATGCCAACCGATGTGTTCAAATATTTGACTTCTTTATTGAGTTGGGTTTTTTTTTTTCATTTAAATTTAATAGCTCCATGCAGTTTATATAGGACTCATTACTGCCTTGTCCCTCTAGGTTATGATGGTATGTTCACATATATGGGGTTGTAATTCCTAAAAACGCACCGACCACAAGCTAGGACTTTAATAAGAGCAATTAGGAAAGGGGCTTTGAGAGTCCTTGGAGAAATATATAATATCTCCAAAATGTAGGGTCTCACTAAGGGGACGTGCCGGCAGCGGAGGCCAGGCGGGAAACGTTGCAGGCTTTTGTTCCACCTTGCGTTGAAATCTAGAATGCTGAAAACGTGCGATCTTGGGTAAATCCACTGGTTTCCAATTAAAAATAAAATCTGTTGTATCTTGTTCTCCCACAGGTGGTTGCCAGAACAGCCTTAAGCCGGTCGGCGGCAATCAGACCCTGGCGTTGGCCGCCGCGGCCACCACCGCCATGGTGTCGATGGAGCCTGAAGCCGCCCAGGGACCTCTGGCACCGAGTGTCCAGCCCTGTCACGTGCTGACCTTCTCTCCCATCAAAATTCCAGTCCTGGCTTCGCATTTCCCAGGTAAGGTCGCTCCTGGTGGCACTAATGAGCAGCTTTTCATGGTTACTTCGTGGCGCTGTGGTTTTGTGGTTTTTTTCTGATAGGTTTAGGTGTGGTTCCTTGCTGGAAGAAACGCGATTTTCTCAGCGTGGCGGCTGGGGAGGTGCTGCGGCATCCCTGGCTCGCTATGGAAGTCTGATCTGAAGCCTTTAGGATCATTTTTGAACCTGTTCTTTGAATGCTTAAGGCTGTGTTTTAGAAACCCTGTGTACCGATTAAGTTGAAAATTTAAATAGGGAGCATTTTCCATCTTTTGGGTACTTGAAGCGTAACGTGGCAAGACGCAGCGGGGTTGCGTTTCGCAGAAGGTATGCAGATGCTCGGTGTTCGGATGAAGTCTTCCTGGGAGAGCTGCACCTCGGTAATGATCGTTCCTGTTGAGCGCTCGTTAGAATCGCCTGGCTAAATGCCTGCCGGGGTCCGGCAGGGTGTTTGTGTTTGGGGATCCCGGAAAGCAAACTGACGCCAGGGAATAAAGGTAGAATAAGTCTTTTGGATTTTGTCGCGAAAGGACGGTGCTGGAAGAAGAGCAGAAAGCAGAGTTAATCGCTGCTGCAGGGCAGGGGTTGGTGGTGCTTCCCACGGAGGATTATCCAACCTCCTGGAACCATTTTGCCTGTTTGTGAGCGAGCGTCTTGGAGGAGAATCCAAAGTGGTGGTGGTGGGAATTATTCTTTACCCATGCTGCAAACCAGAATTGCGTGACGGATGTGTCCTTCCCCCAGTTGAGATGCTCGGGTGACCTGGGATGGCATGGGCCTTTTGATGTACAGCCGCGGAGGTGAGCGCTGCGTGAAGTGCGCGAGGCGTGATGGAACATGATAACGCCGGGAAGCTCCGCCGCCCCGATGACAGGCTCAGCCCCGCCATGATAAACATGTCAGGCCGCGATAATTGCCGCTCGCCTTTCGAAGGAGGGTATGATAGGCTATCAGATAGCACGCGCGGAGTGCCTGCCCAATCATCCTATTATCAGTCATTCGCAGCAATCCACACGCTTCGGGGTGTTTTCTCCGACGGAATATATAGTAGCTTTTTAGAAAGGACAGCTTGAGGATGCCCGGTCCACGTACAATAAACTCGAGACTCGGCTAACTGTTTTTCTCTGCTAATGGCCGTCTCCGGTGGGAGGGCTAGCACCTTTGCAAAGGCTTGCCATAAAGCATTTCTGTGAAATCTCTTTCTGTTGTGCTGGTGGGGAAGAGGACCAGGTGGTGCTGGGTTTAGATGATCTTTGCCAACGGTTGAAGAGCATCCCCCGCCGGGGCTGGGCACGGGTGGGAAGGAGCCTTGGTGGCCCTGGGGCAGGGATCACTTGACAGCCAGGCTGGCGTCCCTGGAAGGTACGGCTGCAACGGCCTGATGGAACTGGGCTGAGGGTTTCTGTAGGTGCTGACGGAGGAGCCGGGCGTTTGTTGGTGTCTGATGGGCATGAGTGAGAAGGGGGGAGAAGCACGTGTGGCAGCTTCCTACCCGGCCTTTGCTCCCCGCACGCCCGGGCTGCAGGGTGGCTGCTCCGACCGCGGTGGGCGAGGTGCTGGACCTGGGCTCGGCTTCACTTTTCCTACGAGGAAAGGCTGAGGGAGCTGGGCTTGTTCAGCCTGGAGAAGAGAAGGCTCAGAGGGGATCTCATCAACACCTACAAATATCTCAAGGGTGGGGGTCACCAGGACGGAGCCAGACTCTTCCCAGTGGTGCCCAGTGCCAGGACAAGGGGCCA